TGTTGATCTGAGCCAGATGCTAAATGAGGCTCCTCACTGGGATGGGATCGGTGTGTGTTTTACTCTCCAGCTGTATCTGACTCCACTGACCCACGAATGACATAACAGAAGGATGGACCGCCTACAGCAGAGACAGAGAGCTGGAGAATGAAGAGAGGCAGAATGAGTGAGAGAAAGAAGGAGAGCAAACTAGAACAGAAGTTGGAGTTGGAGGGATAAAAGTGAGAGATAAGGAGAGAGAGAGAGAGAGAGAGAGAGAGAGAGAGAGAGAGAGAGAGAGAGAGAGAGTGACACCATGAGTCAGTGTCCTGAGGGTAACTCTCTCCTCCCTCTCGCGCCTTCACTGATCCTGGGATCCTCTGTTATTTTCTCTCCTCTTGTTATCATGGTTGCGGAGCCGCTAAGCCTGTCACTCTTCTGCTGACTGCTGCTAATCATGAACCTGAGAGGAGCAAGGTCATCCTTCCTCTGCAACTCTCCTGTGCTCTGTGGCACAGCAGGGAGGAGGGATGGGGGTAGCTTATGGTTGGTTAACTTTAATATGGATGCAGCTGTGACCGTGTGAGCTCACTGGCCCTTGACTGCTTTTAGATCAGCAGGCTCTGCAGATACTGTTATAGGTTGAGGCTCTAGCCTATCATAGGGCCTTGCACTCTATTAGATAATGTTGCTGCTGCTGTAGCCTACACCCTGTGCTGATTATATAAGTGAAGAGAATTCATTTACAGGGCTGGGGATGTGTGAAGTGGATAGCCTTTCCTATTCCTACACAGGCTCAATTCAGACACCATTTACTGTCTTGAGTTGCAGCTTGACCCGCATCACACCTACAGTACCACTGTCTGAGAGAGAGAGAGACACCAGTAGCTCAAGGTGCCCTGAGCCAATTTCTCCAGAAATTGCGAGGTTAGAAAGCAGTGGATGGATGACACCTTGGGGTCAGCATGACACCTCAGAGGAGTGATGGTGGGTGCAGAGGTCATTCAGGTGTATGTGTCCCAGCAGGCCTGGGGAGACAGAGGCCCCAGGTGTTTGACTGAGCACAGGGGATCTGAAGCTCTGACACCAACAGCCTGCCATTAATTACATGATGAAGTGTTGTGTTTGTGATTGGGCCTCACTGTGGCGTGGAGCTAGCATCTGTCTCACAGGGATGAGCACCACAGTGTTAAAGCCTGTTTCACAACACACACTGCTAGGTTAGTAAATGTATTGAGGCCAGCAAAGTACTCAGCCATATGGAGGAAAGGAATGTGTGTGTGTGTCCTCTGCATTACACACATTTGGGACTTTGCCATATTTTTATCTATTGAATAGTAAAAGATGCACACATCTAGAAGAAGGCTTTCGGCCAAATGGAGAAGATGCCTTGCTCAAGTGACATACTGTATGTAATGGTATATGGCAGTCGGATACTGAACCTCCGGACACCCTGCCTCGTCAGGGGAATCTTCATTATGTGGCATTCAGAAAACAGAATAAATGACCTCCCTGGAGAATTCCACATGCATGCAAGAGATGTGGAACCATAAGCTACATACTGTAGGTGTGTCTTTTGAAAACAGACCAATTAGGTGACTGTGAAATCTGTCTCTCTTTTACCCAGTGGCAGCTCTAGATTCCTGAGCCCTTCTCTCAGATGCTTTTGGGTGTGTGTGTGCGTGCGTGTGTGTTTGCGTGTGTGCTTGTGTGTGTGCTTGTGTGTGTGCATGCATGCGTGTGTGGACACTCGTGTGTGCCTCGGCAGTGAGGTGTTAGTTAAAGTGTGGAGGCTCTGAGTCAACCACCTCACTGCTCCTCCTCTGCCCTGAGATGCTACAGGCTCTACATAACCTGTATTGCTAATGCACTGTATTGCTAATGCACTGTATTGCTAATGCAAAAAAAAACAGCAAAGAAATGTTAAAGAATTCCTGGGGTTGACCTTCCATTTCTGAGTCACTCACTCATCTCCAACCAATATGAATATGAAAACCTTGTGTAATAAACAGGGACACAAATAGAGAGACTGACTGAAAAGCTGATCATTAAAGGAATCTATCTTTTTATGAATCATACCCCAATTGATATACCTTGAGATTATTCTGATTCCTTCAGTTACTTCCAATAGCGTGTACGGTAATGGAAACAATCACTGTAGGTAGATGTTAATGGGGAGAATGGAAGATACAGATACAGTTGACTGAGAAAGTAGTGGGAAGATGAAACACCACATAGTGTGGAGGAAATGGATAGGTACTGTGGCAGTACAGAGAGAGGCAGAGAGGGAGGGGGTAGAGATAAGTACAGCGAGAGAGAGGGGGGGGGGGGGGGGGGGGGGAGAGAGAGAAAGAGAGAGAGAGAGAGAGAGAGAGAGAGAGCTGGAAGAGCAGGGAATGTGAGGTGAAGTTCAATTCATTTGTCCTGGCTGGCTGCACTCACTACAAATGCCCCAGCATACAGGGCTGACAGGGTACTATGGAATCCTCCGAGTATACAACGGCTCTGTTATCTGTGAAGAGGAGGAATGAGGCTCATCTCTGACGTGACAACCTCACTAACACCATCTGACAGGACCGAGCAGGCCACAAAGATTGCACTGTATAGCCACGGGGTTGGTGTGTGCGTGTTTGATTGTGTGCGGTGTGCATTTGTGCGTGCATCCATGCGTGCGTGCATTTGTGTGTGCGTCCGTGCGTGCATTTGTGTGTGTGTGTGTGTGTGTGTGTGTGTGTGTGTGCATTTGTGCGTGCATCCATGCGTGCGTGCATTTGTGTGTGCGTCCGTGCGTGCATTTGTGTGTGTGTGTGTGTGTGTGTGTGTGTGTGTGTGCATTTGTGCGTGCATCCATGCGTGCGTGCATTTGTGTGTGCGTCCGTGCGTGCATTTGTGTGTGTGTGTGTGTGTGTGTGTGTGTGTGTGCATTTGTGCGTGCATCCATGCGTGCGTGCATTTGTGTGTGCGTCCGTGCGTGCATTTGTGTGTGTGTGTGTGTGTGTGTGTGTGTGTGTGTGTGCATTTGTGCGTGCATCCATGCGTGCGTGCATTTGTGTGTGCGTCCGTGCGTGCATTTGTGTGTGTGTGTGTGTGTGTGTGTGTGTGTGTGTGTGCATGCAAACAGCAGGAGCCTCTCAATAAAATAACAAAGTAACACATTAAGTACATATTAAGTTTAATCATTATCAGTCATATTCTAAGTACCGTAAGTTATTTGACATTTTGCTGAAGGGACATTATGCATTGCAAGTCATGAGACAATTTTGGTCTAGATTGTGGCCTGGTATTAACTTTATCCTTTGAAGTATTTTATGTTATCATTGCCTTAGTCTTCAGAGAGATGTCACATAAAGCGTATGGGATGTATTTTAGACTGTTTATATGGCCTGTTTCTTTGGCATTTCTCTGAGGGAAGACGTGCATGGACAACAACCAAATTCTGGGACAGTTTGGACTGGGGCTGGCAGATTGTGCCTCTGTTCCCCTGTGTCTGTCTGTGTGTCTGTGAGCCTGGACCAGCTGTGAATTTGCCCTCTTTTGATCGGAAGCGTGGCACGCACAACTTTTATCCTGAAAAGCTGCCCCCATAGGGATGGTAATTCCTAAAACATGTCACATGGCATGCAAAAGAAGAGTTGATTTATGGTAACATCAATCTTTAGGGGAAAAATAGGGGTCAAACTGAGTATGATGAGGATATTCCTAACAAGTAATGACAGGCGATTTACAATAGGCCGTAAACTATTTGAATAGTTTTAATGTTATGTTTTGACACTGGAGTTTGATGGTGTTTGCCATGACTTGTTTTGTTAGTTAGGTAGCCAAACATTACATGACCCATTCCACTATAAAAGTTTTTCTAAGAACACAAAATAAAATGTTGCAACAATTTGTAATTTTGGGATATGTTCATTTTGGCCATTGTTTGATGAACAAGGAGATAAGGTTGTAGATTATGCAGAAACTGTCCCATAGCTCATCTTTATTCTATTACTCTACTCTATACTACATCTCCTTTGCTATCACCAGCTATGTCTACTGTAGAGGGCTGTTTCTTTCTGAAAGGATGTATTAGTATTCATAGCCATGCATACAGAGTTGTGTTGAGTGGAGTTTTGTCCGCTCGGCAGAGAGTAGAGAGAGGGAACATGATGATTACTGAAGCTCAGCGCCAGTCGAGCCATTTCAAAGCCACTTCTCCCCCCACTGCCAGCCTGAAGACGAGGCTCACATCCAAGACACTGAAGATCTTGTCTCTTTTCTCTCTCTCTCCTCGTCATCTCTCTCTCTCCTCTCTTTCCTCTCTCTCTCCTCGTCATCTCTCTCTCCTCGTCATTTCTCTCTCTCCTCGTCATCTCTCTCTCTCCTCGTCATCTCTCTCTCTCCTCGTCATCTCTCTCTCTCCTCGTCATCTTCTCCGACACCCAGCAAACTTTCCTCTGCTTTCACAGGATGACTCTCAAGTTCTTGTCTCCTTTCAAACGTTGCGTGAACTTCCTCTGTTTTTACAAAGACATCAGGGGGTTGGTTAGAAGAAGCGCTATCTCCTGAGTTCTTGCATTGGGACCTAACAGTTCCTTTGGAGAATTAGTTGTGTTGGCCTATGCTTGGTTGTCATTGAAGCTGTGAGTGTCTAACAATTGTATGCATATTATATGAAACCTTGTTGTCAGTTGTATTGTGTAGATGAGGTGCATTCACAGGAGTGACTGATGGAAGGGGAAGGCATATTGTTTGACCTCTAACCTCTTGTTTGACCTCTAACCTCTTGAAACTGCACCTTTTGTACCCCTGTAGCTCAGTTGGTAGAGCATGGCGCTTGCAACGCCAGGGTTGTGGGTTCGTGTCCCATGGGGGGCCAGTATGAAAATGTATGCACTCACTAACTGTAAGTCGCTCTGGATAAGAGCGTCTGCTAAATGACTAAAATGTAAAATGTTAATGTAATACCACTTTGTGTCTCTGTCTCTGTCTGCTCAGGGAAGGTTCTGAACACGGACCTGCGCCACTACCTCAGCCTGCAGTTCCAGAAGGGCTCGTTGGACCACAAGCTGCAGCAGGTCATCCGGGACAACCTCTACCTGCGCACCATTCCCTGTAAGTCTCCTCAACCCCTGCTCTGAAATGGCACCCTATGCGGACCCTGGTGAAATGTAGTGCACTATAGGTGACAGACACACCGCTCAGTGTCTCTCTCACATACTTGAAGATCGCCATGACAACACAAGCAAAGACATCCTCATAAACCCAGACGTTGCTCCAAATGGCAGTCTGTGATTACGGTCTTTCATACAAAAGCTTTTACTCTGAGTGGTGCAAGATATAAGTCAATCTGCAAATTAGCTTTAATCTGAATGACCTTTAGAGCCGTCAGTTAAGAGTACATGTAGAGGTGCTATCCTCTCCTCAATGGTCATAATAGCTGTGTTCTTAGAGTAGGAAAGGAATGTGGTTCTATTAGAAAAGACAATGAACATGCTGGAGAACAGAGATCTTATCTCCAAATTACTACATTATTATGTCATTATTACCACACACATTAAGTTGCAAAATTAAGAGCATAATATTTACCATTACATTTTTCCAAAGCAGAGTCTCTAAAAGAACAGTAACATGTTTGAATCCCACACACAGTCCCACTGTTCCTCAGGCTATGGCAGACAGTTCTGCATGGCACTGTCACAAACGCACATTGAAAGGCTCCCTGCTCTCCCCCAAAGGGCTGAAAGACGCTCTATATTATAGAGTGGGGAATCGCAGGCAGAAGTGTGAGATATTTCCAGGAAGTAAGCAGCTTACCTCTCATGTATATTTACATTTTTGGAGAGGACGAATATTTCTCCCTCTATCAGTCCCTTCTCTCAACCACTTGTCGATCATATGTGAGTTGAAGATTTCTGCCTTCTCTTGGGCAGTCAACGTACATCTGTTTGTGCCTGATTGTTTCTGTCTCCAGTCTATGCTCCTAGTTTGTCTTTCTTAACCTTACTTTACCTGGCGGAGTGAATACTGTTTCTCTGACTAAATTCTGAGATCTTTGTAAGAGACATGCCATTGCCTTGAATTACATGATCTTCCTGAGTTAGTCAGTGCAGTGCTGAATGTTTTATGCTGTGCTGTAATTCAGTTCACTGTGTCTTTCTGTTGGTGTGGTATTCTCCAGAGGCTAGTCTGGCTCTGCCAGATCTATTAGGGGATGGACACAGAACCTTAGAACTCATCTCATGCCTCTACGGGACAATGGTTGCTAGCAGAATTAAATGACTATTTCAGGGCTATAGTCTTTTCTCTTCACACTTTTACAGTACCCCTTGTTTTATATTTCCTGCAGTCCACCCTCTATCAGCTACAGTGGCCTCACCGCATGACTGTGACTCCATAATTCCCTCTCTGAATTACTGTCTTAATGAGCGAGTGACTGAGACAGAAAGACTGAATGACATCATTCAATCTCCCTTACTCTCTCCATCTTTACCCCCTCTCATTCTCTCTGTTTCTAGCATTCCTGCCTTCCATTTGTCTCTTTCATTCACTCCCTCTCTATCATTCTCTCTCTTTTTCCCCTCTCTCTTTCTCTCTCCATATCCCTCCCACATATGATGTGTTAGCAATGCATTACTCTGGATCAAAAGTATTCTGTTTATAGCTAATATCACTCTGAATCCATTTTAAATCAATACACTGAAAATTAGCAATGTCAGAGATAAAGAATTCTGTGTTGTTGGTCAGAAACATCGATCTGTCTGTCCTTTGCTTTTGTGTATTACACAGTTCCTGTAAGGCCATGCTGTCCTTGTGCTTTTGATAGCTTTCTAGCACTTTGGGTCGATAATGGAGACGATGCTCCATTATAAAAATCTAAACGTCACCCACTCCCCTTGGCGTGACCAGGGCACAGCAGCATTATGGTCTCTGAGAGGGCCATGAAAGATGGGACAATCAAGAGGAAGAGAGAGGGAGAGAGAGAGCGAGGGGGAGAGAGAGTGAGGGAGAGCGAGTGCTCGCAGGTCCTTACTGCGTGCCATGGTAATCCCTGAGTCTCCTTCATTGGGCCTCAGACTGCCTCCATGTCCTCTGGATGATAACAAAGGCACAGCAGGAAGCTGTTAAGAGCTCATAAGAGGACAAAGATAGGAGGCCGTCTCCAAGAGGCAAAAGGGCCCGGGGTCGCACTCAGTCCCAGGACGACTTCCCTTACACCAGAGAAGACAGCCTCCTGACCCCCCTCTCAGCTGCACTAGCTTCCTCTGCTAGCTTATGTTTTCTTGGTGAAAGGGGAGTGCATTACTGCACCCCGCCAGTGTGTGGCATCAGTTAGTCTGTTGAAACTGGCTATCCTGATTGAGCTCTTGACGTAAAACCATTGAGTTTAGTTTTTGCGTGAATATAGTTCAGTACCACACTAAAGTAGGGTTGACATTGTATTCTGAGGTCATGGCCTTGAATTACATGATATTCCTGAATTCTGGCTTTAACGTAATACAGTTCTTTAATAAGACATTTTTGATATTCCTGCACACTTATTACATTTTTAGCTATAACCAATTTTCTAGCATTAAAGAAAGCTAATACTTGCAGTCAGGCATTACCGAAACATCAGAAGTTCAGAGTGTCTCATCTTCAAAGTAAGTGCTATGTCCACAAATGGACTGAGGCTCCTCGTTTTTGCAATGCTTTTTTCCCATTGTATTATTTGACAGCGAATGCAAGTGGCATTTTCAAGTGCCAACATGAAACAATGCAAAAAAATTCCATGTTATATTTCTGGCCCTCTTTTTCTAAGTGAAACCGCCTCTGATGTCCCTGCTATGGCGTGTGTCTTTGTCTGTGGCTGTGGCATCCATGCAAGCCAGGTCTTTAAAAAGTAGGACCGCAGTATATGAAAGGGAGAGATTATGAAAGACTTGATGGAGCGCCAATTTGGGTCCAAGGTAGACACATGTTCATGCATTCTCATTATCTCTGTCACACACACATACACACAGACACACACACACATTGCAAGAGTTCCAATGCTGAGGGAAAAGTGATTGCTTCCGATGAGTGTGACCATGTGAATGACTATGCATGATGGCAGGAAATGACTGTTCTCTTTGATAAAGCATTTATACATCTTCCTATTTCTCTTGTCTGCTAAATGAAATGCATTTAATTTATTAGCCCATCAGAGACATTTATTATCTGGGGAATTTGTTTGAAAATTCTGCTCACACAGCTCATTTGAAAGTAATCATAAATGAACTATTGACTGTGTCAGGATAATTATTTTCAAAGTCTGCTAAAATACTTTCTGCTTTCAAGTAGATACCAAACCCTCCAAGTAAATCATAGTTTGTCCTCGTTATGTTTCCCTCAACAGGTTGACAATGGAAGAATTACAGTAGAAGCAATATTGATGTGACATCTAGATGATGCTGCAGGCAAGATAGAGGCTTGGCAGGTAGCGGTGTACTCAGTAATTGGGCTATGGGGGGCATTTTCTGGTACCAAAGCTGTCATGGGGAGACAGAAACAGACATCCTGTTAATGAGAGAATGCTGTGAACTCCCTGATGCTCATATCACACTATCACCATGTCCTTTTCTTTTGGTTACATCATCTGAGATACCAGTGAGCCCTAAATAGGCCCTCCCTCCATATGTTTCCTACCTTTTGCATCAGTGTTCATGGGCTCATTCTGTATTAGGTTGTCGTTGCATTCTCATATGCTCATAGGTGTGTGTTTGCTTGTGTGATTGACAGGCACCACACGGCTACCAAGAGAAGGGGAGGTGCCGGGGGTGGACTACAACTTCATCAGCGTGGGAGACTTCCGTATCCTGGAGGAGAGTGGCCTTCTGCTGGAGAGTGGAACCTACGATGGTGAGGACTCACTAAGGAAGCTTTCAATAATTAATTGATCAATAAGCTTAGTAGTCAATTGGTAAATGAGTTGGAGCTGGCAATAGTGAATTGCATTGACATAGGCTAAATGGATTGGTCAAGGAAACATGATTAAGAGGCTTGTTAGAACTGAAACCTTCGATCACAAGGATGCAAGGATACTCAAGAGCCCTTGAGCTGCTCAAACCATTAAGAGTTATTTTAGTCTGTAGAGCAGCAATGTGTTGATGGGCTGGCCCACCTGATCACCACTCTCAGTAGATCATCTGTAGATCTTTCAACCTGCTGAACCCTGCCTGACCAGCTGGCACCACTACTGCAGAGGCAGAGGAGGAGTTATCTAGGGTTTACTCATGTGATGATGGCCCTCTCCACCTATGAGGGGAGGCTGTGTTCATCGCATGCTTCCAAAAACTACTGGCAGCTACTGGATATCTTTATGTGGGTTTCCATCCTTGGGGTATCCTCTCAGACAAAAGAGGAGTCCTCTTCTTTATGAGGGAAAATCTGCTTCATTTTTGCTTCAGTGGTGACACACTGAACTTGGCTCATGTGTGAACTCCTGTACTGAAAGTAACCATAGCAAATGCTGTTATAGCCGGGGATGATAGTTCATATAGTCACTTAGAGGAGAATACAAATATGTTTTATTTGTAGGGTTGTTGACACAAGGAAGGCTGTTTCTGGGTTTTCCTGATACTCTATTTAGTCCATCACAGTTGAATGAGTTCTTATCAGTTGTTTTACTTTAGTTATACTACAATGGCACATTAAGTACTCACCCTGTATTATGGGGTTGAATAGTCTCAGAGTATTTGTGTCATGAAGGGATTGGAGCCGGGGATTTTTCTCACATTGTTCAATGATTATGGCAATAACATGATAATCTCCTCTCTTTAAGCTCAGTCTTTCATACACCAAATCCCAGCTGCCTGCTGTGGAATCAGAATGGAATGGACTCAGTCTTTGAATGTTAGAGGCGCACCTCTGGTCTAGTGGTTGGCCCACATCACTTATCCTTCTCTGCAGTGTCTCTCCTATTGCCTCTCATTTATATTCCCTGTGATGGAGAGTTTAAAGATGAAGTCAAATCCTCATCTGGAGTAAGAGTCTTACCAAGCAGCAGCACAGTTTCTATGAAGGGGTTTGGCACTGGCAGGTCCTGGCTGTTGACAGTCTTCTGAGCCCTCTGATGTAATGTCATTCCAGATGCTCCCTGAGGTTCCCTTTGCTGTCAGTCAACTCACAGCTGACAGACAGCAGGTCAACACTGACACCTCCTCACACACACTTTGAGCAAATCCCATCCCTGTTGGCATGGGGAAAAGACAGAATTGAGATCACATACAGTAAGAAAGGAGCTGCAGGTTTCAGGAGCTGCCAAGTCAAGGGACAGCCACCCGCGACTGTGAGCTGCCCTTCATCTCTCAGCTGCAGCCGGACCTGTGGGTTTTTCTGCACCTTTACAGGCAGCCAGATAACACACGGCACAGAATGACGTTTAGCTGGGCTGCAGTAAAGCACACATTCTGAATGATTTGATTAGGCTAGAGAGAGAGAGAAGAGGGGGAGAGAGCCAGGTATAGATTTATAGGACTTCAGCCGAGCACCCAGAGTCAGCTTTTCAATGGCAAGCTCTCAAGTCTGTACACTAGCAGTGTTTGACTGGGTGCAGATGTGTGTATTGACTTTCCAGGGCTCTAGGCTGCACTTTGCTGTCCATTGAAGGCTCTGATAGTGGTAGGTCCTCGACAGAAACATGTTTGGCATTTCGATCAAAAAGGACCCATGAGCACCAACATGTGAAGGTCATAGGAGCATATCATATTGGGTGTCTAATTTACATTTTAGTCATTTAGCAGACACTCTTATCCAGAGCAACTTACAATAAGTAGTGAGTGCATACATTTTTGTACTGGTCCCCCGTGGGAATTGAACCCACAACCTTGGTGTTGCAAGCACCACGCTCTACCAACTTTGGGGTAATTAAGGCATAGATTCATTTTTCAACCATTTTCCATCTTAAAAATTAGGCATAAGTAAAGGCTTTGATTTCTGGATAAAAATATGCAAAAGTGGCCTTAGAAAACATCTATCAGAAAAAGTCTTAAAAGGTATCAGAAATACATCAAAACACAATAATGTTGATGGCAAGACTACTGCCAACTAATATCAACACTTATATTTAGTGTTAGAGAAATTGTTTAGCTGCTGGAAGTTTAAGAAATATTGCTTTGTGCCTTGTAATTCCGCTAACAAAAACCTACAAATCTTTAAGATATTTTCTAATATCTCTCCTTCATGGGGAGGGAAGATAATGAAAGCTTACAGAAGTAACAAAACCAGATTTTGTTTATGAATTATTAAGTGATTCAAACTCGTAATTCTGTTACCAAATTGATAACGGAATTACCAAAAAAATCTGTAACGGAATTACTGCAAATAAATTGGCTGCAATGGGAAATCATAATAGTCACAAACCACAGTTGGGTCAACTGCTACTGTCCTCCCTCCCACTGGCATACTGTTATGTTCAGCTGAAAACTGTTTTCTTTCTCTTTCTGTCATCTGGTGGTCAAACCATGAGTGTTAAAACAGTCTGGACAACCCCTCCCTCTCTCTCTCCACCTCTCTCTCACTCTCCAGTTAATGTCACCTCTCCCAGCTCTTACTGGCACCTACCCATGAGCCCCCTCTCCTTCCATTTACTTTAACCAGCATCCTCAACCACTGAGCACCGACTGAAACCGGACATCCATGAACGTTGAAAAGTAGTTGAAATTTGGTCAGTCCACACTGGCCTTGGTGTTAACGTCCACGGACAGACCAGACTGGACTAAATCTGAACCTATCATAGACGTATGTTTCACAAGTTTGGATAGCACATTACAGTACACTACAGTACAGTGCAGTGAGTAGAGCACAGTAGAGTACAGTGCAATACAGTAATACATTACAATACAGTACAATAAAGTACAGTACAGTAAAGAAAAGTATAGTATACTAGAGTAGAGTACAGTACAGTTTATTGTACTGTACTCTACTGTACTGAACTATACTCTACTTTACTGTACTTAACTCTACTGTACTGAACTCTACTCTACCCTACTCTACTGTGCTGTGCTGTAGTGTACTGCCCTGTACTCTACTGTGCTGTGCTGTACTCTGCTGTGCTGTGTCCTGTGATGTCCAAACTTGTGAAACTTGAGGAGAATTACTCTCATATCCATAATTATGCATTTCTGTGTAGTAAAGATCAGGGACCCATGATGTAATTCCGTTACCGGGTTTAAATCCACTTTGCTTACTGTAGTTCAATAACCAAAATTGATTTTTTCAAACTCAAGGTGCCATATCTGTATCTTAGTCCATGCCGCTCTGTCATTACTTGTCCATGTATGTATATATTCTTAAATACCATTCCTTACTAGTTTTGTGTGTATTGGGTATATGTTGTGAAATTGTTAGATATTACTTGTTAGATATTACTGCACTGTCAGAGCTAGAAGCACAAGCATTTCGCTACACCCGCTATAACATCTGCTAAACACGTGTATGTGACAAATACAATTTTATTTTATTTTATTTGATATCATAGCTGACACCCCATTCTTTCTGCAGACATATTTTAATCTTAATTGGGAGCAGTCTTTGGAAAACGTGATTGCATAAAGACCAGAATTTACCGTAATTCTGTTACAAAAGTTTGCATCTGTACAGTTCTTCCACTAAATTAGTTTTTGTACATTTTTCAGTGGAAATTATTCGAAGTTGTACTTGTGCATAGAGTTGTATGGCTCGTTAAACTTTTGGCATACATTTTAAAGTAATAAAACTGAGTCAAAGTGTAATTCCATTACCATGGAATTGCCCTACTGGCACAGAGCTGTTGTCTCCTTGCACGATGAGTAAACTCAGTACAGCACTGGAAGTCATTTGATAGTGGAATGGGATTCTTTCTATTTATATGCGCTTGAACTGCATCCTATTTTGCCATATAGAGTATACTGAGTGAGTGTGAAAAATAAACAAGACCCAGTTCTGCTGGAATAGCCTGCTGTATTCGAGCCCTCTAGTTTATTTTATGTCCTACTTTAAATGCCCATACATTTGACTTCCCAACTGACTTTTAGAGTAGGTTGTAACCATATTACTCTTCAATGTGATCCTTAGCTAATCTTAATGGTGTTTCGAATAGCTCATTAGCTAGCTTGCAACCCTGCTCTCTGGCTGATTTGTGCTGCTGTGCCAGACAGTCAGAGAACTAGCACTATTGTCCTCTCTCTCTTCCCTTACTTCCTGTCATCCCTGACCCTGTTAACCCCCCACCTCCACACAGACCACACAGGCCCACCCAGTGCAGTGCCAGACCTGCCCTGTCCAGTGAACTGAGGCCTCTCCCCTCTCCCAGGCGGTGCTGCTGGGATCCAGTTTGTGCCAGGGTGGCCCACAGGGTCCCAGGTTTCATGACACAGCCACCTGTGCCAGGCTCTGAGAGGGAGTCTGTCTGGGCTCAGTCCTCACTCCGGCTCTGCTCTTCTGTGTGGTTCAGGTCTGGTCAGGTGGCACAACACAAGGACAGCTGCCCAGAAATGAACAACGCACATATTTTGGCGCTGCTGACATCACTGTTACCAGGAAATGTAAAAGTCTGTCTAATTTAAGTTCTTCTCAAATGTATTTGGGGCACGGAATCCTACTGTGTTCATGATTCTGATTCCTATGAGAACATATGGGCCTAGAGCAGGGATCATCAACCACAATAGATTCAGCCGCGGGCCGATCATTTCTTGAGTGGATGGTCAGGGGGCCGGAGCATAATTACAAGTAATTTGTAGATTGCAAATTGACCGCAAGAAGCCCAAACAGATATACTTAATAATAATCATTTTAAACTTTGCTTAAATTTGTATACGATCACGTACACTGAGTGTACAAAACATTAAGAACACCTTCCTAATATTGAGTTGCACCACCC